CTTCTGGAACTTTTACTGGTAGAAATACAAATAATATCGAAATTACATCGAAAAGAAGAATCAGCATTACGATTCATTCCATCCTTGTGCCCCGCAGAACCAGGAAAGAAGTAACAGACCACGATCTCGAAGAACGACGACAATGGAAGATTTTAACAATTATATCGGCCCTTTTCAGGGCCACTCAATTTTAACGCAGAATCGAACGATTCAATACCCTCCTCTTCCTCCATAGCATACCTCAACGATTTTTGATTATCAGCAATTAATTAACAGGTAACCAAGTAATTACCTGGTCAGTGTTTGGTGACAATACAATGGAAGTAAACTTCGTGTGTTAGCCATACCTGAGGTACCTCCGCCAGCATCACCTGCACCGACATCGTGACCACTATTTCGAACAACAAATGCAACAAATTCTAATCTAATTAATGTATACATAATATAATCTACATAATAAATATATAATTACAATTCAACTATTGTATTCTTTATTTATCACCTTCCTCTCCCAACCTGCCACTCCCTTTCACACTTCTTTCCTTATTTGTCCACCGTTTCCACAGTTCTTCCACAATCAACGCAATCTCTCGCTCTCTCACTCTCTCACTCCCTCATTCTTTCATTTTTTCACTCGTTCTCTCTCTTTCTCACTCTCTCTCTCTCTCTCTCTCTCTCTCTCTCTCTTTCTCTCTCACTCTTCCTTCTCATCCTCCTCTAAAATTCTAATACCTCCTCGCACATCATATGCTCCTGATACAAAATCCAAAATTTTCCCGAAATTTTCCGAAAAATTGCCTTGAAAGTAATACAAATCAAAGACAAGCCAGACATCGAGTTTAGAATACCTCCTCGAACATCATGTACTCCTGATACAATTTTCGAAATTTATCCGAAAATTTTCGGAAATTTCCGGAAAAAGTAGTACGAATCAACGTTGGGCCAGTCATTCGAAAGAATACCTCCTCGCATATCATGTGCTCCTGATACAAAATTCCGAAATTTTTCCGAAAATTTCCAGAAAAAGTAGTACGAGTCAACGTTGGACCAGACTTTCGAAAGAATACCTCCTCGCACATCATGTGCTCCTGATACAAATTTTCGAAATTTTTGGTAAATTTCCGAAAATTTTCGGAAAAAGTAGTACGAGTCAACGTCAGGCCAGACATTCGAAAGAATACCTCCTCGCATATTATGTGTTCCTGATACAAAATTCCGAAAATTTCCGGAAAAAGTAGTACGAGTCAACGTTGGGCCAGACATTCGAAAGAAAATTTTGAAATTTTTCCTAAAATTTCCGGAAAAAGTAGTACGAGTCAACGTTGGGCCAGACATTCGAAAGAAAATTTTGAAATTTTTCCTAAAATTTCCGGAAAAAGTAGTACGAGTCAACGTTGGGCCAGACATTCGAAAGAAAATTTTGAAATTTTTCCTAAAATTTCCGGAAAAAGTAGTACGAGTCAACGTTGGGCCAGACATTCGAAAGAAAATTTTGAAATTTTTCCTAAAATTTCCGGAAAAAGTAGTACGAGTCAACGTTGGGCCAGACATTCGAAAGAAAATTTTGAAATTTTTCCTAAAATTTCCGGAAAAAGTAGTACGAGTCAACGTTGGGCCAGACATTCGAAAGAAAATTTTGAAATTTTTCCTAAAATTTCCGGAAAAAGTAGTACGAGTCAACGTTGGGCCAGACATTCGAAAGAAAATTTTGAAATTTTTCCTAAAATTTCCGGAAAAAGTAGTACGAGTCAACGTTAGGCCAGACATCGAGTTTACAAATTTTTGAAAATTGTTAGGTATTTCGTTTTGTCGAAATTTCAGTAGTACAAGTCAATAATAGGCCAGGCAAAGAATTTCGAGAATCCTCTTCGAAGAGTATCATGTTCTCCTGATATAATTAGCAAGTAGTTTATGTCAATGGAAAATCAGATGGAACTATCAGAATGGGTGAGAGAGAGAGAGAGAGAGAGAGAGGGGGAGAGAGAGATTGCGTTGATTGTGGAAGAACTGTGGAAACGGTGGACAAATGAGGAAAGAAGTATGAAAGGGAGTGACAGGTTGGGAGAGGAAGGTGATAAATAAAGAATACAATAGTTGAATTATAATTATATATTTATTATGTAGATTATATTATACGTATACATTAATTAGATTAGAATTTGTTGCATTTGCTGTTAAATAGTGGTCACGATGTCGGTGCAGGTGATGCTGACGGAGGTACCTCAGGTATGGCTAACACACGAAGTTTACTTCCATTGTATTGTCACCAAACACTGACCAGGTAATTACTTGGTTACCTGTTAATTAATTGCTGATAATCAAAAATCGTTGAGGTATGCTATGGAGGAAGAGGAGGGTATTGAATCGTTCGATTCTGCGTTAAAATTGAGTGGCCCTGAAAAGGGCCGATATAATTGTTAAAATCTTCCATTGTCGTGGTTCTTCGAGATCGTGGCTTTTTACTTCTTTCCTGGTTCTGCAGGGCGCAAGGATGGAATGAATCGTAATGCTGATTCTTCTTTTCGATGTAATTTCGATATTATTTGTATTTCTACCAGTAAAAGTTCCAGAAGAGATCCCTAATAATGTATCCATAACCATTTGTTGTATATATGAATTGTAATCCATTAGTTATAAACAATTTTCCATTTCATGTTCCAATATGAAATATCGGAGCAAATGATTCGTGCCACTTTGTACATAAGAGATAAAATAAAATCCGGCACGAATTTTCTGCTGCTTTCAAACAGCCTAACAGCGCCATTTTCGTGCAGCGGCAAAACGCTGAAACTGTTCGTCAAGCAACGGTTGCCTACAATTCGCCGCGCGGTAACACTGCGTGCGCGCGACATCTGTCGGCGAGTGTCCCAAGTCTGCGGCGGAAACTTAAATCAATACTCGCCGACAGATGTCGCGCGCATCAGTGTTACCGCGCGGCGAATTGCAGGGAACTGTTGCTTGACGAACAGTTTGAGCGTTTTGCCGCTGCACGAAATTGGCGTTGTTAGGCTGTGTGAAAGCAGCAGAAAATTCGTGCCGAATGTTCCATTGCTTCTTACGAGAAAAACGGCACGAATCATTTACTGCCATATCGAACGATTGAACATAAAACTGAAAATTGCTTATCACTAATTAATTACAATTCGCATGCGCATAAAATTGTTATCGATGCGTTGCTAGAGGACTATTCTACAGTTTTCAATGATAAAAGCGCACACATTGTGTGTGCCCGATGGGCTATGATGATGCACATGTGCTTAAATGATAGCTGGAAGTGTCTACTTTAACACGTCCTAAAGTATGTTGGATGACAATAGCGAGAACACTTTGAAAAATTAGAGGAGCCTGAACCATGTCGATGAGTGAGAGAAAGTGATGGAATGAGAGAGGAAGGAATGAATAAGAGAGAGTGATGGAATGAAAGAGGAAGGGATGATGTTCTTCTAAACTTTTTTTCCTCCACCTTTTCAAACCATATTTATTTGACAAATTATTACATTTCTTACTCCATCAGTATGATTTTGGATAAAAAGTATGCACGAACACATCAGCATCGGGATCGTCGTACTTGCCCTCATGATGCCGTAGCACGAGCAGAATATTTTGTATATTTAGTAACCCACTAATTTCTTTACCGTCTCTCCATTCCATCATTTGGGGTAATTCACAACCGAGAATTTGTAAATCGCGCGCCGATATTGAGACGCTTTGACTGTCCACCCCCTTGTTTAAATTTTCCATCGCATCAACCGCATTTCGATGAATCAACGCGAAATGCGCAACATTATTTTGGTCGGCTCTACTCAGAAACCCTGATTTAAAGCCCGTACGAGAATAATTCTCGACGCTGTCCAAAGGACCCGTGGCGTTTTTATCGGAGGCATGCCCCCTCGGGTGACCCTTTTGCGTACAATTATGACAATATATATTTTGCGATCGATCTAAAATTATCCCAGCTGCAGTAGGCGACTTACCATGGTAGCATGCACCACCGATCAGCAAAGTCGTTTCCTTCTTATCGTACGACGATAAGGTACTATCGATTTGATCGATCAGCGCGTTTATATTATTTTTTAAATATCGGATGGTGTTGGATCTTAATTTAACAGGATTGTTGCCGGTTTGCGCGGCGATCACATTGAACAAACACCTGTTCAAATCAGGTTTAATGTCCACAGGCTCCTTGTTACCCATGAGGGTCCAATGACCAATTCGTTGATTCGTAGACCTGACATTGTGGTATTCTATATCAATCGTTGCCGCATTTTCATTCCTACGTGCGCCATTTATGATTTTATACAAATTACCACCAGGTAACCAAACCCGAATTGGTTTCTGTGTAAGGACTGATAAAGCCCTTACATGATACAGATTTGATGGACCATAATTTTGTAAATCGTTAATAATAAATTTAGCCAGTTTTAACTTCCATAATTGTTCTTTTTCTCTTTTTTTCCTGCTGTGAGTCCAAGTAGACTTCCCGCATAATACTTTTCTCTGAAATTTTACAATAACATTTTATTCTCTCGATGGTAATCGATGTACTTCGTACACGCGTTTACTTGTGAATTATTTGTCATTTTTTTCTCTCCATTTCTGTGGTGGGCAGAGAATATATATCCCAGTTAATTTTGTAAAGGTCGAAATTCCTTCTTGTCAGAGTTAATTACTAGAATTTCGAATCATTTTCCGGATGGTATGTAAGATATGCGAATTTTCCTGCTAACCTTTACTCATGACATTCTGTAAAATTTTGTTTATTTCGCGCGTTTCCTTGAAGGTAGATTATTATTGAAATGATTCCATCGCAGACTAGGTGGACCTCTGCTACAACTATACCTCGTTCGTGATTCCACCATCTTACCAGCAGCGCTAGCGGAGATGGAGGCAAGCTTCGCGTACACGATCAGAATGCACTGTAACCGTAATTAGGCACCGACTTTATTCTCATGGTACTGTGGGGTTTTGTATTATCTGCGCCTATATTATCATCTCTTACCACATTTACGAGGGGATAAACATTTCATTAATATAATTCATTAACTTAAACGATATTAAAAATTATTGATGAAGTAGAAAATGCCATTTATCTACATCTGTTATAACCGCTGCGAATGCGTATTTGGTGGCGCTGATAATATCTGAGATTTCGGCGGAAAAGGAGAGGGGGAGCGTTTCGTCCGGGACCCGCTAGAGGACTCATCAATAAAGCTATCCTAGCGGGCCCTTGCTTTAGACGTTGGGATATCGGAAGGGGAAAGGAGGATCCATCTGCTGGCGGGTCTAGAGGTAGCCGCCACACCTAATTGTTGCGTATTGTAGAAGATGTGGATCTTCGTTTTGTTGATTTTCGCCTGCGTGAACGGTCAGTTCTTGCAGGAGAATGATCGTTTCGACGATAGAGACCCGGACAGTATTATAATAAAAGAGGCGTGAGTACAGTTAATAATTACCGAGTTAATTAGATGACTCATTTATTCCTATCATCTGTATGCGCCCTGCATAAATTAATGGTTCATTCGTTTTCAAAATAATGATGTTTTTATGTTCATACGTGTAGCATTTTTTTCTTATGATGTACACTCCACAAATACACGGTTAAACAATGATGTAAAGTTAATTCTTGTTTATAGTTCATATTTTATAGTTGCCTCACGAATGGTCAGACCGGGACAGATCTACAAGGTGGATGTAAATGTGTTACACAGTCCGCTGCCGATGATGGTACGCTCGTCCATTCAAAGAAACAGAGTTGAGATCGCAGCAGATTATCAAGAAGTGAAGGAAGGCATTCCAGAGACATTAATGATGAGAATGCCGCCGACTTCTATCGGAGGAGAATATAACTTAAGAATCGAAGGAACGTATAATAGCTTAACAGGTGGCCAAGCGTTTCTGAATGAAACTAAGCTCACATTTTCTCAGAGATCGATGACAATATTCATTCAGTTGGATAAGCCTTTGTACATGCAGGGACAAACAATACGGTTCAGAACTATACCCATAAATACTGAGCTGAAAGCGTTTGATAATCCGATCGATGTATACATGTTGGATCCGAATAGAAGAATAATGAGACGATGGCTGAGCAGGCAAAGCAATTTGGGTACGGTGTCCCTGTCGTATCAGCTATCCGATCAGCCTGTTTACGGAGAATGGATTATACAGGTGATCGCGCAGAACCAAGTGGAAGAAAAAACCTTCCAGGTCGAAGAATATTATCAGACACGTTTCGAAGTTAATGTTACAATGCCAGCATTCTTCTTCGACAATGATCCTTACATGTATGGCACAGTCCAAGCTAATTACACCAGTGGTGCGCCGGTAAGAGGAAATCTGACTTTAAAAGCAAGCTTCAGATCATTAGATAGGATACACATGGAATCTAGTTCTGAAATTACTGAAAGATATTTCTTTTTTGACGAGTACTATCCATCGTGGTTAAAAGTATCATCTTACTACGACGAGAAAGTGTCTGTTCTGAGATTTTTTAATGGAACGTTTCACTTTCGGTATCCCATGTCCGAACTCTTAACGTTTGTGCCTTCCTCGAGCGGCGTGGAAGTTACGGTCACTGCTACCGTTGGAGAAAGATTTTTGGAGGAGATAATCACGGGATATTCCACAGCACGTATTTTCAATTCTACTACAAAAGTCCGATTTTTAGGAGGCACGCCGCAGGTTTTCAAGCCGTCGATGCCGTTTCCATTGAACGTGGTTGCGTCCTTCCACGACAATTCAGCGCTAAGAAAATCGCAGTTAATGAATTCGGTGATGGAAATTCGCGCGGACATTGAAATGAGAACAGGTGGTCGTAGAACCATGGAAACTCAGTATTTAAAGCCATCGCCGGAGAACGAAGGAATCTGGTCTACGAGAATTGATCTGAGAAAGCAGCTTGGACTCGAGCAAAATGTGGAACAAGCTCAACAGATATTGAACGACATTTCTTCTATGAAGGTTTCTGCTTATTTCACGGACGGCGAAGGATTTAGAACTCAAGCCGAGTTACTATTGTTGGCGCACGAATCTCCAAATCAGCAGCACATTAAAATCTCCACGTCCACCGAGAAACCTAAGGTTGGAGAGTATATGGTGTTCCACGTTCAGACAAACTTCTATATCGACACCTTCAACTACATAATCATGGCGAAAGGTACCATTCTTTTAACTGGTCAAGACATAATGCAACACAACGTAAAAACGTTCGCTGTCCCGCTCAGCACGGAAATGGCTCCCGTCGCAACTATAGTGGTGTATCACATCGGGCAGTATGCTACCGTGGTGGCAGATTCGTTAACGTTCCCCGTGAACGGTATTTCCCGGAATAACTTTACTATTTTCATCAACGACAAGAAAGCCAGGACCGGTGAGAACGTCGAGGTAGCCATTTACGGAGAACCGGGGGCTTATGTTGCCCTGTCGGGTGTGGATCGATCTTTCTTTACTATGCAAGCCGGCAACGAGTTGTCTTATGCTACCGTTATCACTAAAATGGCACACTTCGACGAAGAGACCAATGGTACCCACGGTCACGTTTGGTTGTATCACGATGGCGATCCGGACGAGGTTGTCTATTATCCGTCATCAACGTTCGGTATAGATGTTAATAGAACTTTCGAGTATATAGGATTGGTAGTCTTTACGGATGCGTTCATGTACCGTCGACCTGATAACTGCAACGAAACTCAAGGCTACGCGGAATGTCTCAATGGAAGATGTTACAGATTGGACAAGGCTTGCGACGGAGTATTGGACTGCGACGATGGCACGGATGAATCTGCCTGCGAGTACAGGAACATAACCGATATAGCACACTTCAGAAAATGGCGTTACAACAGGATGCAGAGATTATACGAGAACGTGTGGTTGTGGAAAGACATCAACATCGGTCCCCATGGTAGATTCATTTTCAACATAGACGTGCCGAAGAGGCCGGTTCATTGGATGATCACGGCGTTTGGTATGTCACCTAGCATGGGCTTTGGTATGCTACCAAAGGCTATCGATTACATAGGTGTTCTACCGTTTTATATCAACGTGGAAATGCCTTCTCATAGCAAGCAAGGGGAACAGATTGGCATTCGGGTCTCTGTATTCAATTATTTACGGCACAACATAGAGGCTGTGATAGTTCTGGCTGACTCTAGAGATTATAAGTTCGTACACGTAGAAGACAATGGCATCGTGCAGTCTTACAAGCCTCGTACATCCTTCGGCGAGCATCAGTTCTTCGTTTGGATCCCGGCGCAGGATGCTTCGATCGTCTACTTACCTATTGTACCCGTTAGGCTCGGCGACATTAAAATAGACGTTCATGCCACAACTGTAATTGGCCGGGACTCTGTCACTCGAATTTTACACGTGGAAGCCGACGGTGTTCCGCAGTATCGCCATCAGTCCATGCTGCTTGACCTCAGCAATCGTGCCAACGTGTTCCAGTATATGCATGTTAACATCACCGAGACTCCCATTATCCCATACGATGAGAATCGGTACTATGTATTTGGATCGAACAAGGCAGTCATCAGCGTCGTCGGGGACGTCGTGGGCCCGATATTCCCAACAATGCCGGTTAACGCCACCAGCCTCATGAACCTTCCCATGGACTGCGCCGAGCAGAACATGTTCAGTTTCGCGGCCAACTTGTACACAACGTTGTACATGCGGCTGATCAATCAACGTAACAGAACTCAAGAGAAGGAGAGCTTCTACTACATGAACATAGGCTATCAACGACAGCTCTCGTTCATGAATCCTGACGGATCGTTTAGCTTGTTCCGAAGCGATTGGAATCAGTCGTCTCCGAGCGTCTGGCTGACAGCTTATTGTGCCCGTGTTCTACAAGAAGCTCGATTCTACGAATGGGAGAATTATTTGTACATAGACCCTGAAGTCGTGGCTCAGGCGGTGTCTTGGCTATTGAGACATCAAACGTACGAGGGATCATTCTATGAGATCACGTGGCTGGCAGACAGAAAGATGAATAGCTCCCTGAATATCGACGGCGATATAATATTACACAGAAACATCACTCTAACAGCTCACGTTCTCATCACGCTGCAAAGTGTCAAGGATCTACCCGAGGGCTTGGGTACTCAGGTGGCCGTTAGCGCGGCCAACGCAGTGAAATGGTTGGAAAGGAACTTGAAGCTCTTGGAGGAGCGCGGTAAGCCTTATGAAATAGCCATAGTGGCATATGCTTTGCTGTTGGCCAAAGCTTCCACCGCGGGACAGGCTTACAGCATTTTATCCAGACATGCGCGCAGAGAAGGAGGATTAACATATTGGGGTAGAGAACATGTACCACTTCCACCGTACAAATTGGAAAATCAGAAGCCGTTTACCCTGCCGCGTCTACCATATGCATACGACTCGGAGAACATTGAAACCACAGCGTACGCTCTTCTGGTGCACGTCGCTAGACAAGAGAATATGATAGAGCCTATTGTGATGTGGTTGAATTCCCAGAGATTAACGGACGGCGGTTGGGCTTCTACGCAGGACACAGCCTGGGCTATGAAAGCTCTGATGGATTACACAGTCAGGACGAGAATTAGGGATGTCAGTTCGCTCACAGTTACCGTAGAAGCCACGGCTCTCTCTGGACAAACGAAAACGTTGTACGTGAACGACCATAACTTGGCGAAACTTCAGACGATAGAGGTAACGAATTTGATCCCGAGTATAGTTAGAGGATTTATGCGACGGACTATTAATTTTATTTCCTGTTGCATCAGATACCAGAAGCATGGGGAACCGTGAAAGTAGAAGCTAAAGGTGCTGGTTACGCTATTCTACAAATGTCCGTGCAGTACAACGTGGACATCGCCAAATTCCAAACCCAGCCACCGATCAAGTCATTCGACTTGGTCACCAGAGCTAACTTCCATGGCAGAAATCAGTCTCATATATCGTACCTCAGTTGTCAGAGGTGAACTATATTACTTTCTAGGCGTTGGCTTGTAAATTTCAACCCTGTTGTTAATGCGCGTCTCCTTCACAGATGGATAAACACAAATGAATCATCGCGCTCTGGAATGGCAGTGCTGGATGTGGCTATACCAACGGGTTACATAATCCAACAGCAAACCTTGGACAGATACATTCTCTCGAGACAGGTGAGAAACCTTCAGAGAGCCAGGTTCCAGGAAAAGAAGATTCTCTTCTACTTCGATTATCTGGATCAAGAGGAGACGTGCGTTAACTTCACCATAGAAAGATGGTTTCCGGTTGCGAACATGTCGCGGTTTCTGCCTATCAGAGTTTACGATTACTATGCACCAGGTGTGTATATCTCTAACAGTTCATTTATCGATTAGTTATGGTGTAATAATAGGGTTAACATATTTTTGAAAATTCTGTTTCAGAACGATTTAACGAAACGATATTCGACGCTCTGCCGACGTACACATTGAACATTTGTGAAGTCTGTGGTAGCTCTCAGTGTCCTTATTGCCCGATTTATAACACTGCCGCATTGTTAGTTACTCCAACAGGATTCCTATTGGTAATATCTTTCGTAGTAGCTTTAACAAGATACTTCCGAACACAGGAATTCAGCGTGGGTTAGCTACTTAATTTAACAAAGAACCATCGAAAATTCTTTGCATTTTACTCATTATCGACATGCCATGTTTCTTATTTTATCATTACTTTCGATTCCATAACGCTGCCCGTAAATCTATGAAAGCAAAGAGCAAACGTGAGTAAAGTACTTTGGTGCAAAGTTGGAATCGGTATTTGCTTCAAATTCAGGTACCATGCATTAGAGGTTCTTGAGATTCCAACTAGGTATATGCTTAAAATATTTTCTATCGGCCTAGCTGCGAGAAGAAAATACTTATGTACCGTCCATTTTCTATTTGTTCTAGGGTATATCGGAGATGTTTATATTTAGCGCACAAATGTAGAATCTCTTAGCCTGCAAAGGTCTAAAAACTGATATTTTTTATACACTATTTATCGAAAGTATTCGATATTTTATTGTAATTTAACGTTGTTAGTCAATGGATATGGATTTATTCAAATGTTTTTACCGTTTTATGATCGAGAACCGGTTGTGTAGTTAGAGCAATGTGTTCCAGGAGGCAAAGAATCTCAAGTACAAATGAATCTTAGTCGAGATCGAGATTTCTCGCTGTAAGCCTGTCACACCAAAAAATGAAGGAACTCTTATAGCTATTCTTAGCAGTAACAAATTATCATTCGAATTCAGAGAATCAATTTTATAGTGATCCGCGTTAGTCTCATTTTAAAGCACGTCGACAGTTTACACACGTCGATGAATCAAGTAAAGCATATAGTCTTCAGCAACAATTCTTGTTGGATAGAGAAATTTAATCTTCAACAAGAATTATTACTCCTGACCATATGCTTATGAATATTTTACTCATTTTCATGCAACTTTTCCTTCAGAAACAAAATTGGTTGCCATCTCTTTTTATTTTGTAAGGTACGTTCAAATGTTAATCGTTCGTCCATTAACAACTGTACAAGTCGTGCCTTCATAACGCTCCTCGAACACGATGAATTTATAAATACAAAAGACACATTCCGATAAAGAAAAGTTGCTATTTGTCGGTAATCTGTAAATAGTAGGTTAGTGAAAAACTTTGAACATTAATATTTTACCACGTTTTTCCTCGCTACGAGGCATTCGTTCTTTGTCTCACAGAGGCAAAATGTATTCTTTTGTATAGTAGTTATTTTTGCCTGTTCGAACATCAAAGATCTATTTTTAGTATTTTAGCACTTACTATAATATTAGTTTTTAAACAACTTACCGGGTGTTATGCCAGTGATATTTTGGAGATTTGCAGATGATTCGGTATTCGAGTTGGCAACAAAGATGGCATATGTTGAGTAACGTACTGTTACCTTAATGAAACGAATTCATTATTACAAAGTTAAGAAAGTTTGAAAAGAATACACTTGCTGCACATCTCCAAAATTGTACCAATGAGTACAACATTAGTATTAGTATACCGAGATCGCAAAATAACTTAAGCTTACAATATTGTTCCAATATTTAGTTTGGTAAAAAAATGCCATAGAATAAGATCATACAAAAAATTAAAGAAAAGAAATGAAGCATTGTTCATTGGTACATATCACGGTACACATAACACTAATAATACCGTCCATGAAGAAGACCGCTTTACATTAGAAGAAGTATCATTTATTAATAATTGATCTATCTGCGGTTGCGCATAGCAATTCATAATATCGATTATGAATATATTTTTATTCGAAAGCAGTAGACTTATTTGCATGTTAAAATATTCATTAACTTATCTTTGTAAAGAGCTGTTCCTCGTTCACGCAATCCGTCCGAAAGTACATTTAAGTTCGCCAATAGGGAACAGCATTTAACGTGTGTTAAATATATTTTTAAGTTTTATAACCTTTATACGAATAAATAATAAAAAAGGAATATTTTAAACGTTTCGTAATCATTCTCATTTCTGTAGTTCTAAACGAAGCATATATTTAATATTCAACGATGTAGGCAAGACATAGGGCAACATTATTTTCGAAGCAATCTTTAATATAGCAACATAGTCAGTCTTACAATAATAAGCCAAAAATACAATCTATATATCGAGCTTCCGGAGAGCGGGCGAAAAATATTTTTGTTTTCCTTCACGAGCACCCTTCGAGGGTCCCAGGAGTATTTTTCGTGGCTGAAGAAAACAGGTGGCCTTTCGCCCGGACCTCCGAGACGAATTTTACAATTTTACACATAATTATATGATGTATCACGTTGTGAAACTGTACGTCCTGTTCTCCCACGATGCAGGTCTCGACGAACGAAAAAACGTAGAAAGAAAGCGGAATGATTTGATTGGTCCTATTATCGGTAAAGCCTTTGTTAGATTGTATCTGAACTGACGTGACTTGCTGGAAAGCACAAAAATGTGTTATTCATTTTTTCCTGTTTATTTGTCTCCCGTTAATTGAAACCACGAATTCGACAGTCTTATCGGGATTGAATTATGAAATCATATCATCTTAAATACACATTTCTGAGCCGTAGATAGAGAAGAGTTCTTTTGTAAGTGAATCAACGGATCTCTGGAACTCTATCGCTTGATTTCGTTTTGATTGTGTCCCTTTTAAGGGATTCAACAAATATGTACGGAAATGCTTCAGGCCTTCTCGGTTTCCAACGACAGAGAACAAGTTGTAAAGTTCGACAGAGATATCGTGATCGGTACAGTAAACGGTGCATGGATAAATCCGAACAAGACTAAGGGGGCAGAGACTCGAAAAGAAGTCTGTAACTAAGACCCGGCCGGTCAAATGTTCCAATGGGATAATTGAATAACACTTTAATGACTTGCTAGGCCTAGCGGTTACACGAAGATTCAAAGCAGTCTTGTTCACACAGTCTCATCATCTAATTCCATGAATACGGTGTAGAAAACACTATACAATCTTTTAAATTGCGGACACAGAATGTTCATATTGGTATAATTTTTCTTGTAAACGACTGGCAGAATCGAAAAGATCGTCTATGCTAAACGGCTATCAGCTACTTTGCAAGAGCTATGTCATTTTCTTTAGCCATTCATTCTCAAGAATTGAACGGAATAACAGTATGAACACCCTGGCGTTTATGCTTCAATATGAGAAATATAATCGTAAATCGTAACGGTCATTCTAGACGGCTTGTAGCGGTCAAAACTGATTCAAAGAAGTCTTATGAAGCTCTTGGTACACCGGGTATTAATTACAGACACTACTACAAACGCTTTCGGACCTAAACGAATGACCAGGATAGGGAAAACGATCGATACAAATATATAGATATATTATAATATAATAGAGTTATTTGATGAAACATTTAAAGCCTTACATAAAATATACAGTATGATGTGTATCGTCGCACATATGTGAATAAAAGTGTGTACCATGTTCTCTCGCGTGAAGGATATTAACCGTCCCGTTCAACTCTTTCATCTCAGATCAGTACTCTCTCTCTCTCTCTTTCTCTCTCTCTCTCTCTCTCTCTCTCTCTCTCTCTCTCTTTCTCTTTCTCTCTCTCTTTCTCTCTC